CCCCCCCCCGAAAGGCAGACTGGGAACTGCTGGCATTATAAGATTTTAAAATAAGAAGAATGAGTTTGTAACCATTTCCCAAGACTCGAAGCTAGCTGTTTATCAAGAGCTTAATTGACTGCTTGCACTGTACGCTTCATGAAAAGCCGAGAAAATTTCTGAATGTTATAGTTATAGGGTCTGCTGGGGACATAACAGTTTGTAAAACACACATAGGCAGCATGTTGTAGAGCATGGATATATACTATGCAAATGTAATCATTGCCATTGATGTGTGTGTGTATGTGTGTAGGCTACGAGGTAAAACACAACCAATGCGCCAGGATCTGGACAATAAAGATGTTCTTAAATTAATTATTATCATATTGGCCGAGTGAGATAGCAAACAAAATGTTGCAGGTCAGTAATTCATACCCTGGGTCTGGCCATGCTACGTAGTGGGACACTCCAGTCTCATGCACCGCTCGCTAGCCCTTCTGTTCTTACTTCAGACAATCTATGTGACCTTTCCCACAGCAGACATGGAGTAGCGACTTGGAGCTGATGTTCATCATGTCGTCGTAGAATTCATCCACATTACCTCCCTGCTCCAGCAGCTCGTTAAGTCTGTCAGGTTTGTTTTCAGCCACAGCAAAATAAAGATCACCCGATTCCATTTTCTGGTGGGGGGGAAGGAAAGAAGAAAGACCTGTCTGAAAACTTGGAAAGTGAATGTTTTCAGAAGTGGAGATAATGGAACTCTTTTTAACTTAAAGGAAAGAACATTGCTAATTGCACACTGAATTTTCGACCGTTGAAAAAACCCCCCAAAATTCTTGGAACACACTATATCCAGACTCTATATCTTACACCAAAGTTTGAAATAATATTGTGAGGAAAGTACTGACAAGGTTCACATAAAATGATTTGTTAGCAAGACAAAAGATTTTAAGTGTATTTGAATTTTTAGAACAAATGTGAGGCATCGTGGTGACATCAGGATCTAATGAAAATACTGTACAATCAAAGAAACCAGCATTTTTCCGCCAGTTGGGCAGATTTTTACATTTTCTTTTTTTATATGGCTCTCCATCTTCTATATATGTCCTTTAAAAAAGACATTTCGATGTGGATTTTTTTTAAAAACGATAATCATGACATGTAATATCTCGACTGATTTTCAAGATAAAAATTAGTATTTTCTTCATATCAAAAGCACAGAAAATGAACAAGCTTTAACTCTTCATCTCCGGGGGGGCTCACCAGCACAGCAGTGTTCTGACTGCGAGCCACTGGGAGCAGCTTGCCTGAGATAAAGGGTTAAAACGTTGCCAATAACTTCATTTGCCCAAAAATTCATAAGCGCCACATTCCACTGCATCGTGACACATTATATATAATGGCTAGCCACTCATTGTTTCCCCCTCTTGAACCTAAAAGTTGAGATGATGATATTGAATAGTGATAATTCATATTATAGGATAGTTTTGAAAGTATTATATTGTAAAGTTTTATTATCATTAATTGATTAAAGAAAAAAAAAAAATCAATATATATGTGAATATTTTTGCTATTGCACCTTTCTCTGGTGACAAACAAGAGTCGTTAAAAGCTAGCATTGTACAGGTTTCATTACTATTTATGGGTAAATCATGTCAAACATTTACGTATCTCTAGTTATGGCTGGGTCAAGGAGATTAAAAGTAATGGAGGATGCCCTGTGGGTGGCACCGCACGCCTGATAGGAGCCCTCTCTCGCGGCGGAACTGTGGGCTACCTGCGCTGCGCGAATCCCCGGCTCACGCACTGAAATCTAGATAAGAAAGAAGGTTTTATTCCGAGGTCTTTCAGATTAGGCAAGTCAATTAGTAAAATGCCTTGCACCTGTGTTGTATGTAAGTGTAAGAACAGATATGATGCTGCAGTGGACCGAAGTTTTCACAG